ACTTTTTACATACCACAACAATGTGGTGGTTTTTTTTGTTGGTTATTCTAAGCAGAAAATATAAACCATTTAACTGACATTAGCGTTTATCGCGAGTGGGATTTCTATTGAATCTTGCAATGCATTTTCAAAAAGTTGTCTCAAAGTGGAAATTATTATGCTTTGCAAGAAACATATACAGTTTTGAAAGACTTTCAAAAACAAATTCATTAACAGTTTGGAGGAACATTAACATAACTTCCTATGAAATAATAATGTTCAGCATATTTCAGAGGTTTATACATTAAAACCCACCTTCTTCAGAATAATCCCTGATTCTGTTGCACATTTGAAATATATCTATGTAAGGTGCTTATATGGCCTCTGTTATCACAATATCTGAGCACCTCACAATCTCCGGTGTAGTTATCCCCTCTCAACATCCCTGTGAGATAGGGAAGTGCTATTAGCCCCATTTATTTTCCAGATCAGGAGCAAGGCCATAAATCACTTAGGAAGTCTATGGAGGAGTAGGGAATAGAACTCAGATCTTCTATGGTCTAGGCTAGACCCCAAACCACTGGACCATCCTTCTCTAGCAGTGATAGAAGGACTCACTATTATGGATGAAGTATTATTTAAATTACCTGTGCACCTTTTGAAGAGTGACGGTTTTATCTTTTGATGGTACGTTCTTCTCTGCATCATTTTTATATCACAGCCTGGTAGTGTTAATTGACTGTCAATGAAATTTTATTATGAATTCATGAATAAACATATCCATCATTTACATATTAAATAAAGGGCTTTAAGGCTAGGAGAACCCATTATGTTGCTGCAATATCTTAATTCCTTACTGTGCAACATTATAGTTAATTCTGTTTTGTCCTTTTAAATTCTATGGTGTGCATATCTCCTGAGCTTTGGAATCAGTGCACTAATATTAAAGTGGTAATCAAAATTACCTCTAAATATTCATGCAAATAAATGACTCCCATGTGTCTGGTGAATGCCACGGCTGCAGTCAGAAGCATTTATTTGGTATTGTAGAGCAGGAGTTCTCAACCTTTTTCTTTCTGAGGTCCCTCCGACATGCTATAAAAACTCCATGGCCCAGCTGTGCCACAACAATTGTTTTTCTTCATATAAAAACCAGGGCTGGCGTTAGGGGGTAGGAGGGCAATTGCCTGGGACCCCTCGCACCATGGGGGCACTGCGAAGCTAAGTTGCTCAGGCCCTGGTTGGTGGGGCTCAGGGCCCCTGGCTGCAGTCCCATGTGGCGGGACTTCGGCTCTCTGCCCTGGGCCCTAGCGAGTCTAATGCCAGCCATGCTTGGCGGACCCCCTGAAACCTGCTCATGGCCCCCCAGGGGGCCCCGGACCCCTGGTTGAGAACCACTGTTGTAGAGGGATCTAGTTATTGAAAAGTACACTAGGACACAGTATTTTAATATTGTTACTGTTTTGCAAGGGGGAAAAAAAGCTGCACGTGAATCTGCACTAGTGACGTTTGAAACAAATGATTTAAGATGGAAGTGACCATCTCTCTTTAAAAGTCCAGTCTGTACTTAATGGTGTGTTTGAGAGAGTTGGAGTTTTGCCAGGTTTTTAATATAGTGAATTTGTAATTCCGCCTCAATCTCCCACATGCACACATATAGCAATCTTGCCATAATGATTTCAATTTTAATAAGGGTTGTGGTTTTCTAAATCACTTATAAATAATTTTACTTCAAAGACATGCTGTCATTCAGTCAAACTGAGGTAGTACAGACTTTTTAGTCCATAAATCAGAAATTTGGAAGCATTTTTCTATAAATCAGTGAAATGCTAAATCACTAAAATTCAAGTGTTTCAGCTCTGATTGACTGACCTAAATTTAGATAGTTTTTCAAAAAGTAAATTAAATGTGCAGGTGATCCTCTGACTCTCTTAAACTACAAACAGAATTTCAAAACAAGAAAGTATTGTCTAACAATTCAATGAAGCTTATTTGTTAAGGTGCAAACTGAGCATAAATGGTCCGTGATGGATATACCAATCCGACACTTGGCAACAAAGGGTTAAGGAACTGCTCTGAGTTTAGCCAGCTCTGCCCCACTACACGTGTGAGAGATGCACAGACTAGAGGAGGAGGTAAAAGGGAATAGAACAGCTCACTTGCAGGCAGACAAGGGAAGAGAAAGGACCGCTACCTGGCAGCTTCTGAGGAAAGGGCTGAGGGAAGGGAGGACCTGCTTCCATTATACCTTGAGAGGGAGGCATTTCCTTCTCTTGCATACTGACTCTTTGTTTGTGTTAGTTTCTCTTGTTTTGTATATGGACTACCCTGGAAGGGGAGAGTCTTTGAACAGACCTGGCCACCCCAAGAGGGAGAGAGCTGCCACGCCACCACCAGCTGCGAAGAGGTGCCAAGCGATGAGCTGATCCCCTTCACACCTTCCTGTTACAGGCTGTAAACTTTGGATATTAGATGGGTTGTAGGAAGTGGCCCAGGGAGGGCAGCCTTAAGACGCTTCTGGCTGTCAGTCCCTTTGGTCGCCCTCACAGGACCCTGGGCCGGAGCCTGGTGGAGTTGGAGGGCCTGGGCTCCCCTACCAAAACCGCTCTCTGCATGTCATAGGGCCTAATCCCCTGACCAGTAGACAACGCTCCCCACCAAGCAAGATGATCACGTGGTCCTTAATATAAATGTGGGCTTTGTATTAGGACTGACTTTGCACATGTAAACTGTAATTTAGCATTCGAGGGCAGTATTCAAGAATTACTGGCTCACTAGGCAAAGTAGTTGTGATGGGTTGGGTCACAGAGACCCCCTTGGGACTGCCACCTGATGTGCTAAGACTATCTCTGAGCCCATTTTCCCTGATAGCTTGGGACTTCAGTACCCTGTTTTGTTGAGTTAGACACTCCAGTCTGCTGCAAACACAGACCCAGATCTGAACCATGTTCCCATAAGCTGCAGACTTAACTGGAAACAGCTTAAGAAGTGCTCCTGTCTCTAGCATCCAGACACCCAGATCCCAGTGGGATCCAAACCCCAAATAAATCAGTTTTACTCTGTATAAAGCTTATACGGGGTAAACTCATAAATTGTTTGCTCTCTATAACACTGATAGATATGCACAGCTGTTTGCTCCCCCAGGTAATAATTACTTGCTCTGGGTCAATTAATAAGCAAAAAATGATTTTATTAAGTATAAAAAGTAGGATTTAAGTGGTTTCAAGTAATAACAGACAGAACAAAGTAAATTACCAAGCAAAATAAAATAAAACATGCAAGTCTAAGCCTAATACAGTAGGAAACTGAATACAGATGAAATCTCACTCTCAGAGAAGTTCCAATAAGCTTCTTTCACAGACTAGACTCCTTTCTAATCTGGGTTCAATCCTTTCCCCTGGTACATCCTTGTTCCAGCTCAGGTGGTAGCTAGGGGATTTCTCATGACTGCAGCCCCCTTTGCCAGCACACAGGTATACAGGAAGACTTACAAGTAAACAGAGCCATTTACAACCAATTGTCCTGGTTAATGGGAGCCATCAAGATTCCAAGCCACCATTAAACACTTTGCATAATTACAATAGGACCTCAGAGTTATAGTTCATATTTCTAGTTTCAGATACAAGAATGATACCTTTATACAAATAGGATGACAACACTCAGTAGAGTATAAGCTTTGTAATGATACCTTACAAGAGACCTTTTGCATGAAGCATATTCCAGTTACATTATATTCACACTCATTAGAATATTTTCATAAAAAATCACATAGAGTGGAACATCACAGTAGTGTTTTAATGCCCACTCCTCCACACTCCTAGAATCTTACAATCGTTTGCTTCAGGCCTTTAGCCTTCTCTCTGAGGATCTCTTATTTAATGAATGGAGCCTCATACCTCCTTGATGTAGGGAAGAATTATTATTGGGAAACTGGGGAACAGAGAATTGAATATCTTGCCCAGTATCTCACAGAAATTGTGTCAGAGCTGGAAATAAAATCTAGAAGTCCTGAGTGGGATTTTTAATTTTTCGTGCTGTTCTCCAGTTGACATCTGGTATAGAAAGTCCTCCTCTTAAATATTTGTGCATTCTCAATGGTGCTCTAACTATGCTCTAGAGAATGGCAGTGGTGGTGCTTGGTTTTTTTTAAGTTAAAAACCTTGGGAGGGAGAGGTTGGGTGTTTTGGTTTTGTTTTGTTTTATAGGAAGCTTATAAAAAATACCTGTTAAAATCTGCACATATTCCTAGGAAAAAATAAATTAATTCAGCAGTGCTGCCTTTCCCACCGAAGTTCCAATGATGGTCATAGGTCTATGCTACCCAGGGGGTCAACACTGTAGGCCCTAATTCATCAAAGTACTTAAGCACAAGCTTCAAGTACACGAGTATTTTGACTGGAGCCATATAACTGACTCCCCAATCTCAGCACCGCAGATTTGGTTACAGGTGAGGAGGGAACTAGATGTGACTATGAACATCTTAATTGCAAACTGCCCCACAAAGCCTAAGGCTGATTCAGCTCATTTTAAGCTTTCATGAGACATTTGTGGCAAGATGTTACACCAACATTTAGAGAAGAAAAAGATTGTTTCAACATTGTATTGGGGACATTCCAGAAGGCCTCCAGAAACTGATCTGCAATGTACTGCTGTGGTTCTGTCTTACAAACTGAATCAGAGCTATATTCCTGCCACAGTCTGATCTTAGGAAGAGTACATGTGATATAATTGCTTAACATGTATAGAGTCTTTCATCTGTCTTTGTGAAGCAAGTGTGATACCCTGCTGATTCCCATACTGCCGTTCTCTCTGTTTATTAACAGAGAAATATTGCTTATGAGCTGTTGCATTGCAAAAAGTTAATGTTCTCTCAACATTACGTTCTCCCTTCAAGGAATAAGGGCCCTATCGTGCCAGGTTCCCTGAGTTGCCATTGTATACAGCGGGATTTGGGTGCTTAGCACATTGCAGCATCAGTCCCTAAGAGACTGAACTTAGTTGTCATCTTTTTCATTTTTCAGAGTCACCCAGCACTGATGAAGTTTCTAATACAAACTGAAAGTAAGCGACTAGTCATCAGTCTGGAGAGAAATGAGTAAGTAGATCTGATTCATATTCCTTTCACACAGGAGGTGCTAGTGGAGGGATTATAGTCTTAAAACTGATGGGGTGTGTAATGCTTGGATCTGTGGGAAAGTCTACTTCCTGCGCTTATGGAAACAAACTCCTGCCAATAGTGTTTCATTCCAGTTTATATTTTGGCTCTTATAATTCTGGTTACTGTATTGTAAGAATCTAGTATCTCTATATATGACATTGAAAAAAAAACCATTCCCTCTCAGTGTTTTCCTTGTTATCAGCCTTTTGTTTTTCCTGTGGCAACTCCCTCTGTTTACATATTGAGGGAAACCCTGTGGGTCCTGGAGCATCTTCCTGGAGGGTCTGTTCTTCCCTGATACTCCCTGCTGCCATTGGCTGACTGCCTGTGCACACATACCCTGCCCCTGAGATGTAGAGCATGAGTCAGTCAGTATTAATCCCCTGCTGGAATTTTCAATGGAGGTTCCATGGGTTTCTTGGAGGGGGAGGTGAGATGATGCCACATAAAAGCAGTTACCATCTGTCTTGGTCCCACCATCCCTGGTAAGATGATACTCCCAAACTGCAAAGCCCCAGCTTTGTGATGTTCATGCAGTAGAGCCTCTATGGGGGAGGTGAACAATTCCTATTCAACTCTGTTCTCTCTAATCTGCACTTACCGGCCACATGAACTGTGTTTTGTGCAAATTTCAGCTGCACTTGCTGGTACTGTATGATATGTCCATAAGTAGGCAGGACAAAATTGTGTGTTTCTCTTTGGTACCGCTAGTTCGGTCCATTATTATGAGACTGAAGTCAAGGCCCCCTGGTTCTAGGCACTATACATACACATAGAAACAAAGGGTCCCAGTCATGAAGAATTTACAGTCCAATTAGACAAGACAGACAAGGGGTGAGGAACAGAGGTACACAGAAATTAAGTGGCTTGCCCAGGGTCACTGAGGAAGTCTGTGTCAGGGCTAGTAATTGAACACAGATCACCCACGTTTTAGTCCTTTGCCTTAACCAAGAGGTCATCCTTCCTCTTTAGACCTAAGTTCTCATGCCAACAGTACCAACCACATTCTGGGAAGCAGACAGAGGTGGAACCATCCAAGTGAACAGAAAATGTTCTATGTGGTCTCATACAAAATACTATACAGTGTGTGTTACATTGCAGATCCAGGGTCAGACGCATTCTGTGATCACATTTTCCTAAAACTATAGAATAGTGAAAAGGCTTTTCTAGCTGGTGAACTCTAACAATAAACGCTTCTTTTCATCTAACAGAGAAGCTGCAAGCACAGACATACAATGGTTGTACTATATAAACTTGGGGGGGGAGGGGTGTAGAGTGGGAGATGAAAGCAAATGTCCACAGAAACGTGCTGCGCTCAAGCTGGTGACAAGTAACCAGCGTGGACCTCAGTGAGGACACCTCTCTACTATTTCATGGTAAAACCAGGAATAATGCTTTTTATTACCATTCAGTTGGATGACCTGAACATCATCCCTCTGTGGCACAGTGTCCACTGCACTCTCCCAGTCGGTGTTATACCCAAATCACAATGGTCTTTGATTTTCAGTGCTTCTTAGTAGTTCATTTCCTCTGTATGAAACAAGATGCAGATTGCAGCATTCTGAGATTATTCAGTTCCAATTGTTCATTGCAGCTAAAAGAAGACTAAATTTGCTTTGTAAGTATGGTATTAGTTTTATATTTTTTTAATCTTTGAGAAAGGGGATACCTAGTTTCCTGAATATAGAATATGCCACAATCGAGGAAGCTATTCGTATTCTCTATCAAAGATTTAAAAGAACGTTAAACCACTAATATTGACATTAGTAAACATATTAAATCCTTTTTTACCTGTAGTCAACAATTGGATTTAGATGTCTTCAGGACTGCAAGTTGTGTTGACTTTAAGAGATAAAAAGCACATGAAAGGACTGCAAATCAGCTAATGTGAGAACTCAAGCATCTGCTTGACTAACAGAAATGATGATATCATGCATCAATTTTGGAATACAGGGGTTTACTTTTTAAAAAAAATCCTTTATTTACAAATTATCTTTACTTACCTATCCAGTAAGTTTTTCAGGACCAAAATGTGATTTTTTAATGTATTTTTTTTATTAATTTTTCTAAATACAACAAATATACCAGATTCATCATAATACACAATGTAAATAAAGAGGGTTAGGGTAAAGGGAAGGGAGGAGAAGTGACATACCTATCTTCAGGGTCTATGTTAATCCTAGACTTCTAAAAAGTCATCCCTAATTGCTTTGCATTTTGGGGCACTCCTTTTTTTGTGGAATGCCAGTCATTTGTTAGCTGCGAGGTCAGCCATATCACTGAGCCAGGCATCAGTATTTGGTGAGGATTGACTTTTCCATTTTTGCAGGATAAATTTTGTAGTGATCAAAGCTGCACATTGGAACCACATTGCCTTGTCAGATAATCTCCAAGTATCAAGGATGTATCCCAAAATGAAACTTAAGTGGGAGGGCTTCAGTTTAGCATCCAATATCAAATTGGTCCACCTCCCCACCTCTTACCAAAAATTCTTGATACGGGGCATTCCAAAAACATATGAGCTAATGTAGCATCAGCAGCGGTCAGCATTTATGAGTCCATTACCATTAGCCTATGTGGGGATCAGTATGTTCAAACAAGTATTTTTTGATTAATAAGCCATAGCCTCAGGTCTAAAGTTACTTTTTTAACATTAGATACAATTGTATTCCCTTGGGTCGGAGATAGTTGTCCATCCAAATCTCTATTCTAAACAACTCTCAAATTATCAATCTTTGGCAGAGATTTTTGGGCCAGAAAATTGTAGAAGGATACCACTGGCTGAGTAAATCAAGAAGTTTCCTCCAAAATAAGTAGTTCTGGAGCTCCCACTGCATCTGGTCCAAATGCATTCATAAGTAAAAGCTTTAACTGGAGATATTTCCATGCTCCGGAGCAGAGCAAGCCAAATTGTTGCTGATGATCTACAAATGGTTTAAATTTACAATTGTCAATTAACTGTGACACTGTCATGATGCCTCTGTCCATCAAATCCTACCACCGGTTTTGCCACCAATTTTTAAGGATAGGATTGCTCCATAGGACCACCTCTACAGGGAAGACTGGATGGAAACAAAATTGCCTTGCCAAGTTTGACCAGGCTTGCCTCACAGCCATTATTGTGGGACCTCTGGAACCATCAAACCTATAATAATTTGATCCTACAATACCTGAAACGGGGAGAGGGTATACCAGTTCTCAGTGTCTGAACCCAAGGTGGGGTCTCTGGGGTCATATCTAACACCCATAAAGATGTCTGGCTTAACAAAAGGGAGATATGATAATTGTCCAAGTTGGGAAAACAATATCCGCCCAGAGATGGGGGAGCTGTACTTTGTTCAGAGGCAGTCTGTTTCTTACCTGCACCCCAAAGGAACATTCCGAAAATATTATTGAATTTCTTAAAATAACTTTGAGGAATAGAAAAAGGGAGACCCCCCCAGACATACAAAATTCTGGGAAGGACATTCATTTTCAGTATATTAATTTTACCCCACAAACTGAGGGTTAACGAACTCCATTTTCCCAAATCATTAGCCAATTGGGCAATAATTGGTTCTATATTTATCTTAAGGATGTTCTGAATCAGTATTCCTTTTTCAGGACTGGAATGTATTTTTAGTACATGTTTGTACAACACCAGCACAATGAGTTCCTAACCTCCACTGATTATCCAGGCACTTTTGCAATACAATAAATAAATATTACTTATTATCCTCACTTCTGGAATTTGTAAAATACTAAGCTGTTGACAGACACCAGACCACATAAATAGCTGGCCATAGATCTTGCAAAAGTCACTTCTCCCTTCTTTCTGGTTGGTGCTGTTGACTTACTTTTTAAGACAAAATTTGGTCTTAAGGATTTTTTTTCCATTTAATTTTAAGATTTTTTTACTCAAATTCAGGAAATGAAAAAGTTAAGAATCCAACAGCAAAATTAGCACAGAAACATCAATACTTGGTTAAGCTACATATTGGTGAACACCATTTTCGTGTACGTTGCTTCGCGGTGTATATTGGATGAATATCTGTGTGGTATTCATAATTACTGTTGACGTGCATAGCACTATGCAGATATATAAGAAGAAATAATCTATGCGTCACAGAGTTCACAATCTAAGGACTTGATGCTTTTCCCACAGAAATCAGTGGCTCCATTCCAGTGGTGTCAGTGGCGTATGTAGAGGCAGGCCCTGTGTTGCAATATGTAGCTATAGAATGATGGCATATGAGAATGGTTGGAGAGAATGTAACACACACTCTTGAAATTCGTATTGTTTAGAAGCAGCACCATGCTTACCTTCGTTTCCAAGAATTTTGGGAGGTCATTGTGGCTGGGTTCTCAGATTCATGAAAAGAAGCCTTCAGAAGAAAAGAATAGAATAGGCAGGATGCTTAACTAGGGCCAGATCATTCCCTAGGCATGTTATTTCCATTAGAATTATTTTGTGAGGAAGAGCTGGTTGGGATTTCATCTCATAAGTCTCCCCTGAGGATCCACAAACGCAAAACTTGGTCTGCCTTCCCTCCTCCCCCCACCACATGCATTCCAGTTCCCTGACAGCACAGCTCCTGCACAAGCTATGCTGCTAAGAAATCCTTCACTGCCCTGGGATCTCCCAGAAAGGGAATTTCAACCTGCAGGGCTGAAACCTAGTCATCCCTGAGGTATATGGGTTTGTGGGACATGATGCCCTTGACTCCTTCCATCCCCTTTCTAGCAGCACAGCCCTACTCCAGTAAAAGGGTTTCTGTGGGCTCACAATAGGAGGTGGGGAACAATTCAGTGCAGCAGCACTGTTCCTTTCCACTCTCCTCCAGGCTGTATCCCTGTAACCTCTACTTGTGAATATGGAGGGCATGATATGGCCCCTAGTGATTATAGCTGCTGGGGACTGGGAGTTGGGTGGATTCTATTTCCAGCTGTGCCACTGT